CTGGGGCTGACTAGTACCCCAGGGCTGGAGCATCATCCCCTCCCCCACCCTGCCCACCCTCAGGTGTGAGCTGTCGGTGGAGAAGTCCACGGTGCTACAGTCCGAGCTTGAATCCTGTAAGGAGCTGCAGGAGCTGGAGCCAGAGAATAAATGTGAGGCCCGCTCCCCTGAGGAGGCCCCTTTCTAGGGGGGCACCCCTTGGGGAGAGTGGGAAGGGTCTCCAGAGGATGGGAGCAGAGGAGGATCCAGGAGAGACCATCCTCTTCCCTGCCCTCTCCCCAGGGTGCCTGCTCACCATCATCTTGCTGATGCGGGCGCTGGACCCCCTGCACTATGAGAAGGAGACGCTGCAGTACTTCCAGACCCTCAAGGCAAGTCGGGTCCATGGGAACCGGCGAGGGGGAGGCCCAGCGGGCAGGAGGAGGGCAGCTGACGTGCATTCTCCGTCCCTTCTCCCTGCCAGGCCGTGGACCCTATGCGGGCAGCGTACCTGGACGACCTGCGAAGCAAGTTCCTGCTGGAGAACAGCGTGCTCAAGATGGAGTACGCGGAGGTGCGCGTGCTGCACCTTGGTCACAAGGTAGGAACTGCGCACGCGCCTTCCCGGCCTTTGCCCTGCTAGCTGGCCTCCCTCTTCCTCAGGACCTGGCCGGCTTTTATATCTGCTCCCTGGGCCTCAGCCGAGACACTCACCATGCCCCCGGCTTTCCTTCAGTCGCACGTGCCTTTCTGGACATTTCTTCCTCAGCTCATTCCCATGCTTCTCTCCCTGGAGCAGGCCCCAACACCTAAAACCTCAGTAGTTTCCAGAACTTTCTGACAAACCCTCCAGACTCTCTTTTTCCTCTGTAGTCCTTCCCAATCAATCTCCCCAACACGTCACTGCTGCCCACCTTCGCCCCCACCAGCCGATCCCAGACTCACCAGGCCCGCTCCCACCAGTGTCTGTGTTTATCCCAGCGCCCTCCTCCATCCCCCTTACCTGCCCAACTCCCACCACCCCACTGGCCACCCAGCCCGAGGGCTCAGGCCTCTCCCATGTCCTTGACGTGGAGCCTGTACTGCCAGGCGTGCTGAGGCAAGCGTCCCACCTACTCCCTCTTCTCCTCAGCTGGGGTCCCCAAGGGCCTGTGTGGGGCACACAGGGCAAGTGCCTGATAAACGATGGCTGAGGACTTTCCCCCAGGTCTCGCTGGGTATCTCATCCCCCCTCCTCAGGATCTGACGGTGCTCTGCCATCTGGAGCAGCTGCTCTTGATCACTCACCTTGACCTGTCGCACAATCGTCTCCGAGCCCTGCCCCCTGCCCTGGCTGCCCTGCGCTGCCTCGAGGTAAAGCACTCACTCCTGCGTCGCTGTCCTGGGTGATCCTTTTCCCCTTCCTCCACCTCAGAAGTCTGCCCACCCTACAAAGAGATGCCCAGGTCCTCCCAGACCCCACAGATGACCCCTGCCTTCTCCTCTGTCACCCAGCCTGACCCCAGGAGCCCTTCCATGTACTGTAAGCTGATCACCCTGGGTTCCCCAGTTGCTTGTACCAATCCCAGGCTGACAGCTGCCTTCCCTGCCTTGTCTTCCCTGCCCTCCCTGCTCCCCAGGTGCTGCAGGCCAATGACAACACTATCGAGTCCCTGGATGGTGTCACTAACCTGCCCCGGCTGCAGGAGCTTTTTCTGTGCAACAACCGTATCCTTCCTTCTGGGTGCCTTTCAGACAGCAGGTAGTACGAGGTGCCACACCAGGAGGGGACAGACAGCAAGCAGGGTGGTGTGCCCCTGGACATGGAGAGGGGGCTCTGGCTGTCTAAGCTGAGGAGAGAGGGTAGCCTGGCGCTGTATGAGGCTATCATTGACTTGTACTGGTAGAGTTTTGGAGGATGGAAGTAAGTGACTTCCTCAAGCCAGAGTTCACAAACCAGCAGCCTACAGATATTCTTGAGTAGCGCATCATGTTTTTAAAATCAGGAAGTTTCATATTTTAAAAAATCTAGAATTTTGATTCTTCTTTAAAAAATGGAAATTAAAGCAACGTTTAGCCTGCATTTCCACTTGGCAACCCTTGACCATTGGTGGATCATGGGTGCCTCTGCATCTGGGGCTAGCTTTCACCTTGGCCATAGTCTCCACCACTCCTTCTGGGACTGTATCCAGTCAGCCTCCTGTGCTTCCTGCCTGGCCCCCGGGGGCCGGTGTTTGCAGTCTAGAGCCTTACGCCCTCTGGGGAAGCGGACAAGGTGCCCACCAAGCAGGCTGCTAGGCAGCAGTCCCTGTTCTTGAGGGAAAGCAGTGATGGGTGCACAGGAGCAGGTGGATCTGGAGGATGCCAAGCTTTCCTTGACTCCTGCCCAAGGCCTCCAGCAGCCTGCAGTGCTCCAGCCTCTTGCCTCCTGCCCCAGGCTGGTCCTCCTCAACCTGCAGGGCAACCCCCTGTGCCAAGCAGTGGGCATCTCGGAGCATCTGGCCGAGCTGCTGCCTTCAGTTCGCAGCAGCCTCACCTAAGAGACTCTGCCCCCGCCCCCTGCCCTTTAACTTATTGGAACTGAATAAACAATGAAGAGGCCCCCAAAGGCTGCTAAGCCTTCGCCGCCACCATCATTACTACTGCTGCCTATCCTGGAAAAGAAAGGGAGAGAGTGAGGGTATGTCAGTTCACCCCCTCTACTTTCATTTTATGCTCAGTCCTGCTGTTCCCTGTCATGGAGAACCAAAGCCTCAGTATCTGGGGCAGAATCAGGGCAATGGCTGGATTTGAATCTACATTCCAGTTTGGGGCTGGGCTGGGTCTAAGTTCCAGGCTGGAATCAGATTTGAGTTCATGTTCTGGTTGGGGCTGGACCACAAAGCAGCTGGAAGTCTCTCTAACTGAAAGGGGCTCGTAGAAGTTTCTCCCGTGACCTGTGCCCCTTCTAGATGCCCTGTCTGCCCTGGCTCTCCTTTACCACAGCTAAGAAAGCTCTTCCCAGGAGGAGTGGGCCAGGGCGCCCTGGCTCCCCTCTCTTACAGCAACACTGTCAGTCCCCATGAGTAGCATGCTCTGGATAAAGAGCCCTTGGAAATCCTTGATCCCATTTGATCCTCACAAGCTCTCAGGGCTGAGACGATTAGGCCCATAGTACTGTTGAGGAAACTGCTGTTAAGATGCACCCAAGGTTGCTGACCTCAAGTGCTGGAGCCAGAGCTGTCTCTGCAACTTGGTCTGGGATTCCAGATTCATGTTCTTGCTTCTGGATTGGGCAGAGCCTGGCCCCAGCTCCCGAGGTACCGAGACGGTGTCTTTTCCCATGGTCCCCCTTCCAACACACATACACATACCTTGTCCTGACTTTGAAAGCCCTGAGGCACTTGAGCCTCCCCGGAGGGAGGAAAGGGGAGCGACTCAGGGGTGAGGGCACTGAGTCAAACCTGGCTGGGTGGGGAAAGAGAAAGATTGAAACAAGAGGGAGAGAATGTGACAAGGCATTTACCTGGTTCCCTGAGAATCTACCTGGACCCACATGTGCTCACACACAACCAGACTCTCAGGGCCCTGCCCCTCCCATATCCGTAGTGATACACAGACAGCCCCTCCATGAAGCCCTTTGGCTGACCTGCCTCACACCTGCCTGGAATTTTGATTTCCACTAGTGCATCCTCTGAGCGTGCTGGAGGATGTGGGGACTTAGACCTGGACAGGAAAAGGTCACGGGGATGTGAAGGGCTCTGTGCCTGGTCCTGGAGCCTCTGTCCCTGCTCCCCAAGCCACCTCCCTGCCTGATGCATCACCAAACTCAGCCTCTCCTCCAGTCAGCTTCCTTGTGTCCCCTTGCCCACCCTGTTTTCACTGTCTTCTGTTCAGTGTCCCATGGACAGAGCTGGGACAACAGCGGGATGGAGGCAAGAGACCCCAGGAACAGGGTCCCAGACTTCCGGAAGATGTCTGACCTCCTCTTTGCCTTGGGGCTCTCTTGGTGGCCTCCCTGGCATTTCTCCCAGTGTCAGGGTGAAGTTGGGGCAGGTGCCTGGAGCCGGTTGGTCAGGATTCCCAGGAAGAATTCCAGGTTGGAGAGCCCTGGCCTCCAGCTCACCAGACATTCATCTCAGTGAGAGAAGGGGGTACTCTGCAGCCTGGGGAGGGGGGGGGCCTTCATTCCCACCTGAGCCTCATAGCAAAGACCTGAGCCTCATAGCAAAGACCTCAGCCTCCTCCAAACCCCTCGGTTTGGGGGGTGGGGGGTGGCAGTTAGAAAACAAGAGATTGTTTCTACTCTGACCCCCCTAATCCCCAACCTGGAGGGACACATGAAGCAGGGGGCAGCTCAGTCATGCTGGGGCCTGGGGCCTAGCTAGAGGAAGAAGGAGGGACAGACGGATGGTGGGGGCTGGCTGGTGGAGCCAGTCAGAGGGCCTGGCTGCTGGTGTCACCAGTGTGTACCAGCCTGGGATGCTGGGGGCTCCCTGGGCAGGACGAGTCCCAGAGCCAGGCCGGTGGGCAGTTTCACAGGGACGGAGGTGGGCAGCCTGAGCTTGGGAAGAGCGAGTCTGCTGGATAGAGTGTGGGTGGACCCTCCCTGCCCCATCGCGCTAGAGAAACTTCCCACACTACAGGGATGATTCTTTCCCCCTCACCCGCACATGGACATCCACCAAGCCAGGTGCCCCATCCAGAAAGCTGCTCACGGACCCCTCCCAGGAGATGACACTTGTCGCACCCTCCTCCACCGAGGAGAACGTGCTTCCGATGTACCCAGTTCCGCAGGAGTCAGCATCCCTCGGACGGTGTGATCTCATCAAAGCCTTCCGACTTCAGCACTGACAGACCCCGCTCCCGCCCCTCCCCAGCCCGGGCCCAACCCCGCCTCCAGTCGGTTCCTGGCTCCTTGAAAGGGGAAAGAGGGTGCGGCCTAGCCTCATTTCCCACCCCTACCTCGGAAACAGCCCCCAGAGGCTGGGCTTCCTCCCTCGAGGATGGAGCAACCTTCCTTCCCCTTCTTCCCTGAAGCCTGGCCCCGCCCTCCCCCTCTCATAAACCACTTGCCGACCCGCCCCACGCTTTCCATTCGTGAGGCGGCATCAGTCCCGTCCCATCAGTCCCGACCTGTTCCACCCAGAGATGCCAGCACCTCCGTCAGGTGAGGCCCCGGCCAGGTGGGGTGCGAGCCAGCCCGAGCCTGTCGGTCCCAGTGAGGCTGCTCCCCACACACCGAGACTCTACACCTGGGAAGCCCGGCTCGGGCACCTCTGCCCCCGCCCAGCCCCTCCGGGCAGCTCCGCGTGGGTGTTTGACCAGCCGTGGGGAATATGTCAGGAGCCCAAGTCGTGAATGTCACTTGCCTGTGTAAAGCAAGGAGCCTTGGGTGGGGGATTCCGCCTAAGAAATGGGTCCTTGAGGCAGGCAGCTCTGGATCTCTAGACCAAGGAGCTGGCAGGTGGAGGGAGCAGGCCCGGGATGGTCCTGTGCTGCTGCACCTTGAGGGTGCGACAAGTGTCATCTCCTGGGAGGGGTCCGTGAGCAGCTTTCTGGATGGGGCATCTGGCTTGGTGGATGTCCATGTGCGGGTGAGAGGGGAAAGACTCGTCTCTGTAACGTGGGAAGTTTCTCTAGGTGAGTCTGAAAGGAGTCTTTGGGGAAGGTCTCTGGGTGGGTCTGAGGGAATCTCAGGGTCAGGATCAGATCATCTCAGTCATCTGGCTGGGACTGAATCAGCTCTCTGGATGGAGGGTTTCTGGGTGAGCTGACTGGGGCATGCTGTAGGGGTAAAGGAGGTCTGTGTGAGTGATCAGAGCCTCCCTGCCTTGTCCACACAGGCACGACGACGGGCAGTCCTCGTTCAGATGTGGGCCGCTGGGGAGGGAATCCCTGGCAGCCCCTCATGACACCTTCTCCAGAGCCGGAGCCAGAGCCAGACAGACATGCTCGCCAAAGGGGCCGCCCCTTCTGGGCTCGCTGCTGTGGCTGCTGCTCGTGCCAGAATACAATAGATGAAGACTGGGGGCCTGAGCCCGGTGGAGACCACGGGTCTAACTCCAGGCCTCGAAGGCCCAGCCCCAGGGATCGAAGACCCGACTCCGGGGGTCGAAGACCCGACTCCGGGGGTCGAAGACCCGACTCCCGGGGTCGAAGACCCGACTCCCCGGCTCGAAGACCCGACTCCCCGGCTCGAAGACCCGACTCCCTGGGCAGCACTGTGAACACAGGTAGAGATGGCACCATCCAAGGTGAGGCCCACCTGTCCATGTTATCTGAGAGCCAAAATGCTTTAATGGGCCTGAGACTCATTCTGGCATCTCTGGGGGCCTGGGAGGCTAATGATGCAGGGCCGGACTCCCCATGGGGCTTCACTGAACCTGAGCTCTGGCCTTGCAGAGGGAAAGCTGGTGGTGACTGGTGTGGATCTGCTGAGTTCACCCTCGGACCAGAATCGCCAAGAGCACCACACGGACGAGTTCGAGTACAATGAGCTGATTATCCGCCGTGGGCAGCCTTTCCACATGGTCCTCTTCCTGTCTCGTCCCTATGAGTCGTCCGATCATGTCACCCTGGAGCTGTTCATCGGTCGGTGGAGCCCGCAGTGGGAGGGGTGAAGGCCCTGGGCAGGGTGGAATGGGGTTAGGGGGCTGCGTAGCAGGGCTCCCCGCCCTGGTATTAGGGTCAAAGGGGCAGCTTTGGGCTCCTCACTCACCCCACTCCTCGCCCCTGCCAGATAAGGCAGGCGCAAGCATGTAAGTATGTCCCCAGGGGTGCCTCAGGGAGGGTCTGTTTTCCTAGGCTCACCCTCTTCAAGCCTCCAGGAGCACCTGTCTCAAAATTCTTTTTCTTCAGGTGCTTGGCACAGCATCCCCTTCAGTGTTTCTGCCTCTGTGTGTCTTTCTTTCTGGGTCTGCCCTCCTTCCTCAGGGTGTGGCTCCACGCTCTCTCCCACAATGTCTCTCGGTCTCTCTGTCCCCATGGCCCAGGGCAGGTGCCTCCCTCATTGCATTGCTTGGTGGCTACTGACTGCCTAGGCCGGTGCTTATGCTGCCGCAGGGGGCCGGCGACCCCTCGTACCCTTTGATTAGGGCTTAGCCTTGCCCACCCCAGCCTGTAATTTCCCAGATACCCCCACCACCTCCAGCAAGGATGCCCTGGGCTCTGGAAGCTGCAGCCCCAGGGAGCAGGCAGGTGAACTTCAGGATATGAACTGCCCTTTCACGCGCAGCAGGGGCAACTGGACCCAGACAGGGTGGCTCTGCTCCTCCAGCCCAGGTGCTGGAACAGTCAGGCAGGGAGAGCGTGACGGTGACCTGGTCTCTTCTAGTCGCCTCTGAGTTAAGTGTCGAGGGAACAGGTTTGGGATGTTGGACTGGATCTCTGCCCTGACATGTGGGCAAACACTGGGTGGGGACAGAGCTGCTCTCAGATTGACCCAGGTGATGGTCCAACTCAGGGACACACTCACTGGCTCATACACTTTCTGGGTGGGGCTGCGAGAAGTCCAAGGCACCATCCCCCCACCCCCCCCCCCCCCCCCCCCCCCCCCCCCCCCCGCCTTCAGATAGGCTGCAGCAGCTAATCGATGCTTTCCCCACTGCAGGAAACAACCCTGAGGTGGGCAAGGGCACCCACGTGATCATCCCAGTGGGCCAGGGGGGCAATGGAGGCTGGAACGCCCAGGTGACCAAGTCCAGCGGGAAGAATCTGAACCTACAGGTCCACACCTCCCCCAACGCCATCATTGGCAAGTTTCAGTTCACGGTCCGCACACGCTCAGAAGCTGGCGAGTTCCAGTTGCCCTTTGACCCCTGCAATGAGATCTACATCCTCTTCAATCCCTGGTGCCCAGGTGAGCCTGCTGGAGTCAGAAGCCAGGCATGGACAGGAGGGGAGGGCATGTCAGGGCTTCCTTTCCTGGGTCTGGCTACGTGCCTGGGTACCTAGCCCTAGGAGAAGCCAGCCTCCCATTGTCCAGGTGAGGGGACCTAGATCCAGGACCTAGAGAGGTGACCAGCCCAAGGTCACACAGTCTCACCTCTCCTGGGGAAGGGCCCTGGTTACAGCCACCCTCCTCTGATCATCTCTGTCATGCTCACTGCATCCTTCCTGGGAGGAGTGCTGTCAGGCTAGAGGCGTTCCTGCTCTTCCTCTGCGGTCATGAGTCCTGCAGAATCAGCCCAGGGGCAGGTGGGACCCAGGGAGAGGGCTGGAGGGGACCAGGCATATATGCTTTGGGAACACAGAGGACATCGTGTATGTGGACCGTGAGGACTGGCGGCAGGAGTACGTGCTTAATGAGTGTGGGAGAATTTACTATGGGACCGAAGCACAGATTGGCGAGCGGACCTGGAACTACGGCCAGGTACGGCTGGCTGGGGCCTCGTGCACTCAGGGGCACTAGAGGCAGGTAGGGTGGGGTAGGGGAGCAGGTGCTGGCCTAGGGGTCACCTCTGCCCTTCCTCCCTCCAGTTTGACCACGGGGTGCTGGATGCCTGCTTTTACATCCTGGACCGGCGGGGCATGCCATACGGAGGTCGCAGGGACCCCATCAGTATCTGCCGGGTCGTCTCCGCCATGGTGAGCACCCTCGCGTCTCTGAGCCCTACCGTGTGTCTGCCTGCTGCCTCCCCTGCTCCACCCCACACTCTTACCCTTCCTGATTCTGTCACTGCTCTTGCAAAGGGTACTGTGGGAAGTGGTCTCACCCTTCTTCCCTCCCTCGCCTGTCCTCCAACGCTCCCCTTCCTGGCTCCAGTTCCAGCTCTTGCGTAATGTAGGGCCAAACCCCAAACTTGGCACACCCAGCATTCACATTCATGTGTCAGACCAGGACGGGGTGGCGGGGGGGGGTGGGGGGGTGGGCGGGGGGGCGGGGGGGGGGGGTGGAGTGGGCAGAGAGCTCTGGGAGTGGTGAGAGGGGCTCAGGCTGCTACTGGACCCTGAAGCCTTTAGGGGTGAGGGATGGTTGCAGGGTCAGAGGCTGGGCCGGGGGCCACACGGCAGGCCCTGAGCTTCTCCCCCAACTCTGCCCCACCCCGTCCTGTCCTGGGCAGGTAAACTCCTTGGATGACAATGGCATCCTGATTGGGAACTGGTCTGGAGAGTATTCCCGCGGCACAAATCCATCGGCGTGGGTGGGCAGCGTGGAGATTCTACTCAACTACCTACGCACCGGCTTCTCTGTCCCTTACGGCCAGTGCTGGGTTTTCGCCGGTGTGACCACTACAGGTAGTGGAGGGACGGGACAGGAGCTGCCTGGGCCCTACACGAAGGAGGGAGGGAAGCCAGGCTCTGCCTTCACGAGCCCAGCCCAGCTGTGGCTACAGTGTCGGAACAGGCAGGGTGGCTGGTAGGCTGGCCTTAATTATCATTAATTAGTGTTAACAACCAAGAGGGGCCTAGAGGAGAGGAGGGAGAAGGGACAGTTAGGGACAAGGCGAGGCCGGTGGCCTGGATTCCCCTAACCCCCAACACTCCCTGGCTTGGTGCCCTCCTGACCCTAGCGACCCCTGACCCAGTTGCCCCTGTCCCCTTGCTACTCCTGACCTCGTGCCTCACCTGCCCCCCACCCCTGCCCGGGCCCCGGGCCCTGAACCCCAACCCTGGTTTCCCCACAGTGCTGCGCTGCCTAGGCCTGGCCACCCGCACCATCACCAACTTCAATTCCGCGCATGACACAGACACGTCCCTCACCATGGACATCTACTTTGACGAGAACATGAAGCCACTCGAGCACCTGAACCATGATTCCGTCTGGTGAGGCTGGGGCTGGCCTGCCCGTCCCTGCTGAGGACTGGTGACCTGAGGCCTGGGCACCAGGGGGATGCTGGGGAGGCCCTGGGGGGTGGGCAGCTCACGGAGCCCTCCGGCCATGTCCATCCAGGAACTTCCACGTGTGGAACGACTGTTGGATGAAGAGGCCGGATCTGCCCCCAGGCTTCGATGGATGGCAGGTTGTGGACGCCACACCCCAGGAGACCAGCAGCGGTGAGGCGGGGCCCTGCCTGTCTCCTGAACCCCACTTGGGGCCCCTCCCTGTCTCCCCAGCCAGGGTAACAAACTCCAGCATCCCGGACGGGGCCTTAGAGCCGGGTCCTTTAACCCCGCAGTTCTTCAAACAGACTCCTCAGGGCAAATCACCATGTGGCCCTTCATTTATTTTTACCTTTCTGCGTAACTATTTGCCTAAATTTTATTTATTGGTAATGATTATTACACTCAGATGGCTCAAAAGTCCAAGGATTCGAGAGAATTCAGTGAGAGGTTTCCCTCCCCTGACAAATCCACTATTCCCACTTGCTTTTTTATTTACATATCCTGGAGGTAATTAATTGAAGGTGTAGTAGGTGGGTGACATGTACCATGCAGGGTGGTTGGGAGGATCTAATGATAAGTCATAGTAGACTAGCAGCATGGCTGCAGCTTCGTAGCTACTCAGTTAAGTATTAGCTCCTTCCTCCTCTCTGTATCCAACTGTCTTGGGAGATCCTGGCATCTACTTTGCCTCACTGAGCCTGTCTCCCCATGTGTAAAAGGAGACCATCGTGCGAGATGTTTTCTAAGAGACGTTTATATATATTCTTTTAAAGTTTAAAAAGTCATTATTTTAAGTAAAACATGCTTGGAAGGAAAAAAAAAGGATAGAATTGTATAGCATAAAGTATACAATTCCCTATCCTCTCTCAGGTGGTTTGTTTCGTTTTGTTTCAAGGAAATTTCTATATCCTACTCCAGACCTGATACGTTGGACCTTCAGGGAATAGACTCTAGGAATCTGTATTTTTGAAAGTTCTGGTGATGTTGCAGATCAGCTGGGTTTGGGAGTTCCTCTAGGGCACAGAGCATTAGGTCAGCAGCAGAGCAGACCCAGCCCCCAACTTCCTCTTTCAACACATATTCTCACTTTTACCAAGTTCCTCTCGTATCTGTTCCACTGCTCCACTGAGTTATATGTACAGTATGAAAAAATCAGGTTTCAGAGAAAAGAGCTTCTGTAACACAGTCCAGCCTAAGAAGTAATCACTGACGACATAACCTACTAGTCTCTTTTCCACAATGCACGTTTCTGCAAAAATTAGGCTTCCCGTGCTGTTCTCAGACAGGTCCCGCACACCCTTCCCACCTTAATACTCTGGCCCCAGGCAGCCCCACCTGCCGGACGGGTTGCCTCTCCCGCCAACCCCTGCCACCTCTCCCTTCCTCACCCTGGGTCAGATAGCCTTCCCCTAGCCTACATTCCTCCTCTGGTCTCTGGCCAGACCCCTCCCCCCTCAGTCATCTCTGTGAACGGTGCCCCCTGAGTTGTGCAACCCCAGTGACGCCTGCGACGCTGGAACAGCCTGCAGGACACCGGGAGATCTGAGTTCTCGTCCCCACTCTGGGAAGTGGTGGGCTGGGCGGCAGCCAGGGCCTCTGAGGCCAGCCAGACCCGGGCTTGATTCTAGCTTGATCACTTCTTGGATATGTCATCTTGGGCAAGTTCCTTGCACCTTCAGGTTTCGGTGTTCTTGTTTGTAATAGGTGGGTGACATGTACCATGCAGGGTGGTTGGGAGGATCTAATGATAAGTCATAGTAGACTAGCAGCATGGCTGCGGCTTCGTAGCTACTCAGTTAAGTATTAGCTCCTTCCTCCTCTCTGTATCCAACTGTCTTGGGAGATCCTGGCATCTACTTTGCCTCACTGAGCCTGTCTCCCCATGTGTAAAAGGAGACCATCGTGCGAGATGTTTTCTAAGATTCTCTCCTGTTGGATGGCCCTCACTTCCTGTTCCGTGTCCTCTCCTGCCAAGCTTCCTCCCTATCAACCCATCTCTTCCAGGAAACCCTCCCGAGCACACTGAGGACAGACTGTGTTTCCCACCAGCTCCCCTCTCACCTCCCCACAGAGAGGACACAGTAGGCTGCAGAGCTGAAGGGTTGTTCTGGATCTTTCTGGAATGGTGACTGTGATGTCATTGCTCTCCCAGCCAGCAAGCAGAGCCACGGTGGGCTCTGGGTTTGTCTTGATGTAGGATGGCTGTTGACCGCAGGGGGTTACAGACAGCTGACATGCAGCTTCAGCCAGTAGAGGAAGTATGCCAGCAATTTGATTAGCAAGGCAGGCCTGTCCCCACAGTTGTCCCTGTCCCCCTATCCCCCACCAAGGACTGAGGCCAAATAGAACATGTGCACTCCTTTGTTTAACCTCCCTGAGTTGGACTGGTGGGAGCTGACCCAAGGCAGTGGGCGCTGGGCCTGGATGGGTGGGCCCAGGACCTGGGTGGGGGGTTCCCCCTCAGCCTCCTTGGCTCTCTCACCCCCATGCTACCCTCACTCCGCTAGGCATCTTCTGCTGTGGCCCCTGCTCTGTGGAGTCCATCAAGAACGGCCTGGTCTACATGAAGTATGACACACCCTTCATTTTTGCTGAGGTGAGGCCTGTGTGGCCGGTGCCTTTGTGGGCAGCCTGGGGAGACCAGGGCACTGGTGTTAGCCCTGGGTTCTCTGGTCCTGACCTCACCACCGACCGACTAGCTGTGTGACCTTGAGCAAGTCACTCATTCTATGAGTCTTAGTTTCCCCAACTGTTAAAAGGGGGATAATAATGGCTGCCATGCTTCCTGTGCTCAGGATCAAAAGAAATAATGGGTATGAAGCTGCTCTATAACTCGTAGAGTCAGCGAACGAGCATAAGGGATTACTGTTATTAATGTTGAATGCATTGTAAGGAGCGTCCCAGACCAGTTTCTTCCCCACTCTCTGGCCTTGTCTGGCTCAGCTTGGAAAGTCTCCCGGTTTGGCTCTTCCAGGAAGCTCCCAACCTTTGGATCTAGCCCTCCATGCAGCTCCTAGGATGCAGGGAAGGCAGCTGGGGGTCAGTCCCACCCTCAGACCCTCTGGCTCACTCACTCCCGGCTCACACCCCACACACGCCCCAAACAGGTGAACAGTGACAAGATCTACTGGCAGCGGCAAAGTGATGGCAGCTTCAAGATCGTGTACGTGGAGGAGAAAGCCATCGGCTCGCTCGTCGTCACGAAGGCCGTCGGCTCCAACATGCGGGAAGAGGTCTCCCACATCTATAAGCACCCAGAAGGTACCAGCCCCCCAACCTGGCCAGCTCCGACCACGCCAAGGGTTCCCACCAAGCACTTGCCAACGCCAGCAGCAGTGGTAGGCTCACCATTGACCCTCGACCCCCAGGCTCAGAAGCAGAGCGGAAGGCAGTGGAGACCGCAGCCGCCCACGGCAGCAAACCCAACGTGTACGCCATCCGGGACTCGGCTGAGGATGTGGCCCTGAAGGTGGAGGCACAGGACGCAGTGATGGGGCAGGACCTGACCATCTGCGTGGTGCTGACCAACTGCGGCAGCAGCCCCCGGACTGTGAAGCTGCACCTCTACCTCTCCGTTACCTTCTATACCGGCGTCTCTGGGTCTGTCTTCAAGGAAAGCAAGAAGGAAGTGGTGCTGGCGCCGGGGGCCTGTAAGTGCTTCTTCCCCAGCCCTGCCGCCTCCCCCCACCCCCCCGCCCCACGGCTGGGCACCCCGGGGCTGGGGACATGGAGACCCCAGGAGGCCGGGTCTGGGGAAGCTGGCCTCAGTGACACCATGCCTCTTCCCCCGCAGCGGAGCGCACGGCCATGCCCGTGGCCTACAAGGAGTACCGGGTCCACCTCGTGGACCAGGGGGCCATGCTGCTCAACGTCTCGGGCCACGTCGAGGAGAACACGCAGGTGCTGGCCAAGCAGCACACCTTCCGTCTGCGCACCCCGGACCTCACCCTCACGGTAGAGCAGCTGGCTGGGGCAGGGGGAAATCGGAGGGCCAGGGGAGGGGGCACTGGGCCAGGAGCCACGGCAGGAGGAGGTCAGGGACCAGCTCTGAGCTCCTGGGCTTCGGTTTCCTCCTCTGGAAAATCAGATCTCATTTCCCTGATTCTGTGGTGGCTGCAGCTGGAGAGTGGGTTGGAGTTTCCTGTCTGGCTTTGGGAGAGCCCTCTCTCGGGGGCAGAAACGTGGGGTGAGGGCGGTCTTGATTCGAAGGAGCTCTCCCTCTCTGGGGGAGCGTCTGGTCCCGTGAGTTCGGCCAGGGGCTCTGATGGGGGCCTCTTTTTCTCTCAGTTACTGCGAGCAGCCGTGGTTGGCCAGGATTGCGAGGTCCAGATTGTCTTCCAGAACCCCCTGCCTATCACCCTCACCAACGTTGTCTTCCGGCTCGAGGGTTCCGGGTTGCAGAGACCCAAGACCCTCAACGCTGGGTGAGTCCGGCCCCTCCTCCTTCCCCTGCCACTGCCCTTGCCTGCCTCCTGGCGGCCTGGGTCCCAGCTTTGCTTCCTCTCTCTGTCAGGACGGTAAGGTCTGTCGCTTGGGGCCCGCCAGCAGCACCTCCTGACTCAGTTCAGCCCACCCAGCACTTAAAAGGCCTGCTGTGGGCAGTGCTCCGCGGTGTCCCCGCCCTGCCTCACCGGCTCGTTAGGGAGCTAAAACCTCACATAGGAATCCCTAGCAGCTCGTCACTACTGTCACCCAGCACTCAGCAGTTGAGCAGGCACTGTCAGGAATATAAGTTCATTTGGAGACCACAGAAACCCCTTAAGGTACATTAGAGATCATCACCTGGGCCGTGTGCCCCAGGGCAAGTGACTGATCTCTGCGCCTCAGTTTTCTCACCTGTAAAGTAGGGATAACGATAAGCCTGGCTCTGAGGATCAGAAGAGACGCTGCCCGTAAAGCACTCAGCATGGTGCTCGGCACAGCATTAGTGTTCTGTTGGTAGCTGTCCCCCCCCTTTACGGATGGGGCAGCTGGTGGCCGCATCTCACAGGGTCTCACAGCTCCTAAGGGGCAGGCTCTGCCCCTCCCGCTTTGCTGAGAGCACAGGCTCTCAAGCTTGTTGCTGGCGTGGTGGCATGAGGGCCGAGCAGCAGTTCCGAAGGCGAGAGCCCTGTGCCTCGGGCCCTCACCCAGCCTGCCGGGGCCTGATCCCGAGCCACGTGAGGCTCTGGGCCAGGCCCGTGCCCACAGTCGTGTTCCTGGGCCTGTGCTGCCATCTCTGACACAGACCCACGCATGCAGGAACAGCATAGAGGGAAAGCAGAGAAGGCCAGAGGCTGACTTCTAAGATCAGCCTTCTGGGGACAGGGACAGGAAGTTTCCTCATTCGACAAAGAGCTCCCGAGGGACAGTGACAGCATGCGCTCGGAGGGGCTGGGTGAGGAAGCAGAGGGTCCCTGCCCACCCTGCCCATCCCTCTCCCCACACACAGCAGGCAGCTCTGCCTGGTGGTGGCTGCCACTTTCCCCAACAGGCCAAAGCTGAAAAGGTTGCTGTTCAGATCTTTGCCCCAGCCTGGCCCCCTGGATGATGGGACACATCACAAACGAGTGCTCTCCTTCCATCGCCCTAAAAGGGTCTCTGGCAGCTTAGAACTCCCAGACAGCTCACCTGCTGGTGTCTCTCACCTGCAGCTGACAGAGGGAGGTTCACCTGTTCTGAGGGATTCCCCAGAGCGGGGCTCCCCTCAGCAGCCCCACCAGATCTTTGATTCTTGCCCCTGCCTGGGAATAAGGAAAGGACCTCTGCACTGAGTGATGGACACCCAGCTCCCCTCTTCAGCTGTGGGGCTTGTGCGAGTCTCCCCCCACTTAAAGGTCTCAGTCTTCCCATCGGTAGGTGAGAGGGTTAGATGGTAGTTTCTCAAGGCGGGTCCTCCTTGGACATCCTGTGGCTCCTCAGCTGCTGTGAGCCCAGGCCAGGGCCACCAGGACAGCTGAGAGCCCTGAGCTCCTGGCTCGGATATATTAGATTCCAAGACGGGCATCACTTCCCTCTCATCTGCGCATCCAAGGCTGTGGCATGGAACCCCATTGTGCCACCCAGCCTGCTGAGCGGCCACTTAATAAACATTCCAGAACTTACTCCTTCAGATGGCTATTGTCACCACCAAAGCAGTCACCAGGGGAAGCTGGAAGACTGCTCCAAATCCTTCTCGGGAATTTCCCCCAGAGCCTGAATCATATTCTCTAGAATGTCCTTAGGGTGGTCTTCTAAGGGGGTGGATTTGACTTTGGGGAAACAGCCTCAAGTCATTTAGAATTAAGACTTAATTAATAAGGTAAGTGAACAAGGTGGGTCATAATGCCCTTTTCGATCAGAACTGAAGCTTGGCTGTAAAGGAGGGGCAGTGACTTGTCCGGGTGTGCGTGCGCACCCAAGTTGGGTGCGTGTGATGTGTGTGTGGTTTTAAATGGCTGTGAAGGAAAATCTGAGAGGAGATTTTTCAAATGTTCAACAGGGTTGAACCAGTACATAGTTGAAGGACAATGCTAATTTGGATGTCTAAGTTCTGATGTCCTGTCAGGGAGTTGGTTTTATTACCTGCACTCACTTACGGGCACATTTCAACATGAGCAGCTGACGTGCTCAGCTTAAAGTGGCAAACTGGGGTGCAGCCAAGGTCTCGCCTGACTCTTAAGACCTACTCTTAAGGGTAGGAAGAGATCTTGACATCCCTAGCTGGAATCTGGAGAGCATTTTCTCTTGGAAATAATGTTATAAATAAAGGCTAGGCTCTGAAATAGTACAGTTCAATCATAGTATGGGTTAAATAGACTTTTGAAGGCTGATCTGAATCTAAACAACCTTTAGCCTGCATCGATGGAAAAGTGAGCACAAATTAAAAGTGCAGATTCGTAACCAGGCAGAGTATAGCCTACCTGCTAAGTTATAGACTTAATTTCTTTCTTTCTTTTTTTAAAATAAATTTACTTATTTGTGTATTTATTTTTGGCTGCATTGGGCCTTCGCTGCTGTGCGCGGGCTTTCTTTATTTGCAGCGAGCGGGGGCCACTCTTCGTTGTGGTGCGCAGGCTTCTCGTTGCAGTGGCTTCTCTTGTTGCAGAGCACAGGCTGTAGGTGCCCGGGCTCAGTAGTTGTGGCTCACGGGCTCTAGAGCACAGGCTCAGTAGTTGTGGCGCATGGGCTTAGTCGCTCCGCGGCATGTGGGATCTTCCCGGACCAGGGCTCGAACCTGTGTCCCCTGCATTGGCAGGCAGATTCTTAACCACTGCGCCACCAGGGAAGTCCCTAGACTTAATTTCAAGTTGTATATTATGATAGGAAGTCTAGAAATTAAGTCTATAACCTAACAGGTAGGCTATAGATATCTATCTCCCTGTCTCCCCTGCTTCCCACCTTCATAGAGCTTGGAGGCACCTTCAAGACCATCTGATCCCACCCCCTCATTTTACATTCGCTTCCGTTTTACACCAGAAAGTGAGGATGACTGGTACCTTGTTCTAAACCACACAGTTAACAACGGTAGAAGAAGGAGTACAGAGTGGTCCGGGGACGCCCCTTGGAAGCAGGCTCTAAGCTGTTTTGCCCCAAGGAGAGCTCATCCTCAATGTTGGGGTGTTGACTCATTCTCTTGGAGGACTGTGGTGTTTGCACAGAGTCTGGCTCCAGAGACAGTCCCCAAGGCAGGCTCAGGTTGCGCAGGGGCCAGAGGTAAAGGTTTAAGGCAGAGGCAGGAAAGGACAGATGCTAACAGGCGTGAGAAGGTGCGATATAAATGCAGTCACAGTCAGTGTGTAAGCACACGTGCAGATTGCTGGAGGAGCTCAGAGAAGGGTGAGATTCATTTTCCTGAGGGCAGGAGGTGCTCCAGGGAGCCCTCACTGAGGAGGAGTTGTGAGCTGGGTCTGGAGGCAGCCTGGGGGCAAAGCTTGAAGACAGAGGTGAGTTCAGGGAAGGGGAGGAGCTCAGTGGGACTGACGGGCAGGAGGAATGGGGGGATGATGAGGTGGTGCAGGCAGGCAGGGTGACTCAGAGTGAGCCTGTGTGTCAGGTTAGGGAGCTACAGTTTCATCTATCTCATAAACACCGAGGAAGCCAAGCCGGTGAAGGGCTCAGTTCATCTCTGAGTGCTTGGAGAATAGAATGGAAAATGAGATGGGAGGCAAGGAGGCCAGTTAGAAGGCTGGTGAAATTGTGATTCCCAGAGGGGTGGTCTGGGACTAGAGGTCCATGGGAAGGAAGAAAATAAAGACACTGTAGTGTGTGTGTGCACACCAGCATGTGTGTTTCTTTCTCTCTCACTCACACACACGAATGTGTGTCAATTTAATTGAAAGATGCCAATTGTCTGTTCTTTTTTTTTTTTTTTTAATAACAAGCTGAAGTGTGATCGTAGCAGAGGCTGATTGATTAATTTTCTTCCACCTTCTTCCTCGGCAAACCTGAAAGTATTTGGCAATACTGTGTTGAGCCCCAAAGTCTCCCTTTGAAGTTTCCTTGTTCTTGGAAACCCTACGGGGATTGGGGCTGACCTGGTTGGGGCAGGAGCATTGGCCATGGAGAGGAGGGGAGGCAGTGCCTCTGTCTTTGTCCGGATGTTTGTGAGAGCAGGGAGGGAGGAGTCCTGGATGCTGAGGAGATTTCCAGCTCCAGCAGCTGGGTGGGTGGCCACTGATCTAGCCTTGCAGAGGTGGCCTTGGGGTTCAGGCATTGTTCCAGATGTGGAGATTCCAGCTGAGCCCAGAAATGCCTGAAGGGCTCCACCTGCTGCTCCTTCCTTCCTGCCTGCCCCATCAGCCCTTACTCCCCACTCCACCCTCGGTCACCCCAGGCCCATGATTCTATCTCTGCCCACAGGGACATTGAGGGCAACAAGAGAGTGACACTGCGCCAGACGTTCATGCCTGTGAGACCAGGCTCCCGCCAGCTCATCGCCAGCTTGGACAGCCCACAGCTCTCCCAGGTTCATGGGGTCATCCAGGTGGATGTGGCCCCGGTCGCTGGTGGCAGGGGCTCCTCAGATACTAGAGGCAACGGTAGCTCAGAGGAGACCATCCCTATTGCATCTTGAGGTGGGGCTTAGCCCTGGGCCAGGAGCAATGCGAGTGGAGTCAGATGAGCAAGGGCATTGCCTCAAGACAGGGGCCCGCTGCAGAGCAGTTCCCCAGGGCCTCAGGTGGGGAGACCGGGACATCTGGGGAGGAACCGATCTCATTTGCACAGATGCTAATAAACTGTTTTACAATGAAGCTGCCGTTCTGTCCATCTGTCAGTCTATGCCGAGCCAAGGAGCCCCACGGCCTATCCTGGGGATGCCCTTGGCATTTCTGACGCCCCTAGTTCTGAGAAGCACGGCTGGCACGTCAGCAGTGGTACCACTCAGCAGCTCTTGAGATGGGGCTGCTTGGCGTCAGGACAGCCTCCAGCGCTTACCTGCCCAGTCTTCACCCGCTGACCAAAGCCCTCCGGAAGCTCCCTGGGCTCAGTGGTCTGCCGCCTCCACAGCACCCCCTGTGGGAAAGAAGAACCTAAAGTCCCTTCTGTAGGCACATGTTTGAGGTAGAAATAGGCTGGAGTTCTCTCTGAGCAGCAGAAGCCACGTTCTAATATTGATCTTCAAATATCCTTGTCTAAGAATTGTTACAAAAGTAATACGTGTTCAGGGTTGAGCATTAAGAAGATACAGAAAATTATAAAGCAGAAAATAACAATAATCCTCAAGCCCCGCCATGTACAGAAAGTAACTGAGCGTTGTGTTTCATATGCTGCTTCCCTGCCCCCCTCCCACAAATGACCTATGGTGAGCATTTTCCTACAGCATTAAATAGTCTTGAAAGCATCGTGTTTAGAGACTGGATGGTAGGCTAGGCTTCCAGGCCACCCTCCTGGTCCTCCTGGATCTCTGGCTATCCTTCTCAGTTTCCTCAGCTGGGGCCTCCGCCTCGGCTCAGACTCCAGGGTTGGGGTGACTCAGGCCTCTGCCCCAGGCTCTCTCTCATCCAGCTACACTCTGTCAAGGTGAGCTCTGCCAGACTCGAGGTTTTAAGGACTGCTGGCTCCCAAAATTGTATATTTTCCTTGAACCTCAAATCTGTATATTTACTGCCTTCTCCGTATCTCTACAATGTGGATGTCCAATGTGGATGTCTCAAAGACACCCCAAGTATAACATATCCAAGGTCAAACTCCTGACCTCCCTCCAGCATATATCCTCCTACATCTTCCCCTACATCAGTAAATGGCACCTCCATCTTTCCAGTTTCTTGGGCCCAAACTCTTGGAGTCACCCTTAACTCCTTTCTTTCTCTCACATCTCACATTCAATCTGTCAGCAAGTCTTGCTGGTTCTACCTCCCATTCATAGGTGTCTAGAATCGGACCACTCCTTATCTCCTCTACAACTGCCATCCTGCCCGAGCTGCCTTCATCTCTCAGCTGGACTGTTGTACCCCCTTCCTAATCATTTCCCCATTTCCACTCTTGCCCTTTGATACCCTGTTCTTCACACAGCAGCTGGAACGAGCAGGTGAACCAGATCATGTCAATCTTCTGCTCAAAACCTTCCACTGGGGCTTCCCTGGTGGTGCAGTGGTTGAGAGTCCGCCTGCTGATGCAGGGGACACGGGTTCGTGCCCCGGTCCCGGAAGATCCCACATGCCGCGGAGCGGCTGAGCCTGTGAGCCATGGCCGCTGAGCCTGCGCGTCCGGAGCCTGTGCTCCGCAATGGGAGAGGCCACAACACTGAGAGGCCCGCGTACGGCAAAAAAAAACACAACAGAACAAAAAACCTTCCACTGGCTTCCCGCAAAGTCAAAGTCCTTACAGTGCTCTGTGACTCCGCCCTCCCTCCCCTTCCCCTCCCCCGGCTCAGTCCATCCAGCTCGCTGGCCCCTTCCTACCTGGACAGCGCCTGGCACATTCCTGCTCCAGGAGCTCTGCAGGGCTGTGCTCTGCCTGAGGACTTCTTCCCCACATGGCCCCATGGCTCACTCCCTCTTCTCCTTCAAGGCTTCCTTAAGTGCCACCATCTTAAGGTCTTCTCTTCCATCCCATTTTAAAATTGCAACACCTTCTATGTTTCCTATCTCCCTTTTTTCTTTCTTTTTCTCCATAGTACATGTTACCATGTGGTGTTCTATACATTAAATTTTTTGTATCATTTATTATCTAATTCTCTCTACCAGTACTGCACCATCCTAGTCCAAGCCACCATCCTCCCTCACATGGATTGAAGCCCCAGTCCTCTCACTAGCCTTTGCCCTGCCTTGTCTATTCTCAACTTGGCAGCCAGAGGGATACTTTTAAATGTCAGTCAGATTATGTCACCGATCTGCTCACACTCCCCAGTGGCTACTCACTTCTCGCAGAATAACAGCCATGGCTGCTTCACTTTCTTGGTGTTTCTCAAAGCCTTGACCTCCTGGCCTTTGGACTAACAGTTTCCCCTGCCTGGCACACTCTTCTTCTGATATCCGTGTGGCAGGCACTCTCCCCTCCTTTGAAGTCTATCCTCGAATATCACTGTCTTAATGCGGCCTTTTCTGGCCACCCTATTTTAAATTGCAACCCACTCCTCTCCTCATGACCACTTTTCCCTGCTTTATTTTTCTGCATAACACTTATCCACATCCAACATATTCAATATTTTAACAATGCATTTATTCATTGTGTCCCCCCTCCCCCAAGTGGAATATAAACTCCACAAGAGCAGTGATTTTTGTCTGATTTGGTCTCTGTTGTATGCTCAGAATTTAGTGCATAGAAATGCTCACTAGATACTTGCTGAGTGAAGAAGAATTTGGCACTAATCTATTTATGTATAATAACACCTGTCATCTTCACAAAGACCTCATAAGGTCACTGTATTATAATTTCCCCTCTACAGATGAAGAATCTGAGGCAAGGGGCTAGGGAACCCATCAAAATCATTTAGCACTCTAGAATAGGATTAGAACCTGAGTCTGGCTCCACAGCCTGTATTTTATCTCAGACTGAAAGTGACCCCACAGAGCTCTTAATTCCACCCCCAAACTCTTCTTCCCCTAGTTTCTCCCGTCTCATTGTTACTATAATCACCCACTTGTTCCAGCCAAAAACCTACAAGTCACCCTTGATTCCTCCCTCTTCTCTCCTCCCAGATTCACTCCACCAGTATTTCTTATGAGTTCTATGTCCAAAATCTATCTGAATCTGTCATTCTCTCCACTTGCACTGTCACTGTGCTCTCTCCCTATGGAACTGCCATAGCCTCCCGGTGTGTTTCCACTCTTGTTCCTGAATAATCCAGTTTCTACACAGCCAGTGAGCTTTCTAAGCTCTAAATTAAATCCTGGTACTCTCCTGCTTAAAACCGGATGAGGCTGGTACTGAACCCAAACAGCAGCTGTTTGCTGCTTGGAAAGCCAATATACAAGAGACAAATGTTGTTGGGAAGGGTATGGCTGCTTTATTCAGGAGGCCAGCAACCTGGGAAGATGGTGGACTAATGTCCCAAAACCAATCTCCAAATTTCTGGTTAGGGGACAAAGGTTTTAAAGGGGAGTTTCAGGGGTGTACAGGAGGGGGGCCTATGTGCAGAAGAGCACATAATAATAATAATAAATAATAAACTGGTTGTGTGGTGTTCTGGTCGGCAACACCTTGATCTTCTACTCTAGGGTCGGTCTGCTCCCATATCTTTAAGCCCAGTCCCTGGAACTCTTAAGCAAGCAAGATTAATTGTCCCCTAGTCAGCTAGTCATTCTCCAAATAGCTCTAAGACACGCCAGGGTCAGTAGGAAGGGGAGATGCATGTAAATTTTTAAATCTCTACTGCTCAAAATGGAGCAGCTTATGTTATGGCTACACTTCCAGTGCTTTCCCATCACCCTTGGATCAAGGCAAAGTCTTACCCTCATCTATCTGGCCCTGCAGCCCTCTCCAACCTCAACTCCACCACATGCCCCTGGCCCTGCTGCCTCAGCCCCACAGTCCTTCTGCTTCTCAAACTCACCAACCTTCTACCTAAGACTTGGCATCTGCCCTTCCTTCTGGAGGAGCACCCTTCCTCCAGGTGGCATGGCTGCCCCCGTCTTTCAGGTCTCAGCTCAGATGTCACCTCCCCATAGATCTCTTCCCTGTCCATCAATCCGACTAGTTTGCCGCCTCCAGTCTCTTAAGTATATCACCCTATTTTATTTCGTATCCTACCTAGCACTTATTGTTTAACATCAGCGTGTTTATTTATTTATTAAATTCTGTCTCTTTTCTCTAAAATGTAAGCTCCTTAAGAGCTTTATCTGTCTTGTTCACACCAGTGACCCAGAACCTAGAACAGGGTCAAGCACAGAGCTGCACAAGAAGTGTTTGCTACTTACAAAGTTAAAAGCAACAATTTGCAACATATAACTTATAATTGTTCCTTGAATTTATGGAGCAAGCCCCAGTAGTTGTACTAAGTTTTTGTCTTGTTTTGTTTTGTTTTAATTTTTTAAATTTATTTTTGGCTGCATTGGGTCTTCGTGGAGGTGTGTGGGCTTCTCATTGCGATGGCTTCTCTTGTTGCGGAGCACGGACTCTAGGCACGTGGGCTCAGTAGTTGCGGCACGCAGGCCCTAGAGCAGTAGTTGTGGTGCGGGGGCTCAGTAGTTGTGGCTCGTGGGCTTAGATGCTCTGCAGCATGTGGGACCTTCCCAGACCAGGGATCAAACCCATGTCCCCTGCATTGGCATGTGGATTCTTAACCACTGCACCAGCAGGGAAGTCCTGGTACTATGTTTTTTTAATAAAAATGAACAAATGATATTATTTCTTTGATTAACCTCTCATTCCTAGAAACTTAAGTCTTCCCAGAATTTTACTGTTCTTTTCTCTCTCTCTCTCTCTCTTTTTTTAATTGAAGTATAGTTGATTTGCAACGTTGTGTTAATTTCTGCTGTACAGCAAAGTAATTCATTATACATATATATACATTCTTTTTCATATTCTTTTTTTTTTTTTTGCGGTACGCGGGCCTCTCACTGTTGTGGCCTCTCCTGCTGTGGAGCACAGGCTCTGGACGCACAGGCTCAGCGGCCATGGCTCACGGGCCCAGCTGCTCCGCAGCATGCAGGATCCTCCCGGACTGGGGCGCGAACCCATGTCTCCTGCATCGGCAGGCGGACTCTCAACCACTGCGCCACCAGGGAAGCCCTTTATATTCTTTTATATTCTTTTCCATTATTGTTTATCACAGGATATAGAATATAGTTCCCTGTGCTATACAGTAGGA